AACTTTGTACTGTGTATATAGATTGTGCATTTCATTCACTGTTAAAGTGTTCTGTTGGGCTATTATCTTAGTTTTTACTTAGTGTGTTGAATTCTTCAGAATTCAGCTTCATTTGTCAAAATATCTTGAAAGCATCACTCGCATACACTTACACATATTTGCAATAAACATTTATTGTACTTTAATAGAAGTAAAACTGAAGCGCAATTGGGAATTTTGCATCTAATTTGCATAATTATTCAAAGGGTGTTTGATTCTTTGCCTTGATGTGAAGCACTTTCTGTTGTGTTAGTACTATTATTATTATTGCTATTAATTAGTTAGTTTTACCAATAGCAGCATGATAAGTGGCCTTATTGCCTAATCCTTTAAATCATGAGGTCCGTTATTGCCTTCTGCGCTAGGGGGGTCCGGGGGCATTTGAACATTTGACATCTAAATGAATTAATCTGATTGGGGCCAGGCAATTTTAGGCAATTCTGAGCAACAAGAGGCAGAATAGGAAGACAACAAAAACGTCTGCATTAAAATGTACATTTTACATCAGTTGAGGTTTGAACTCACGACCTTTGACATCAAGGAGCATCTTCTGTCTCTCTGAATTGCAGCCCCCAACCTGTAGCCATTTCTCTCTCTCTCTCTCTCTCTGTTTTCATCTCTCTCGTGTCTAGACCAAACTGAACAAATATTTACAGACGGACAAGCATAATAAAACTTTTATTTTTAAAATTTATTTTATTTTGAAAATGGCCAGATTCTCTCGTCTTTTCTGTGTCTGACTTCCTGTTTGGTACGATCCGCTCTATCCAGCTTAACAGAAGCGCTCGCAGCTCTCTTGAAAAATAGACCAGATTCCTAACTGAAGCACTGCAGTGTGTGAGCCTCTGTGGGCGCTCCGCTTTGCTCAGCGGCCTGTGTGGACAGTCAGTCAGATAGGTTAACATGGGCGCCGATTGAAAACTGCCTCCTCTGCTGGGCGCTGCGCTTCGAATATTCCTGTGCCGGAAATCCAGCACCGTGCTGGAGAACTTCAATCCCTGAAGGTGGGAACAGCAGATTCTCATATTTGGACACTATCTGGTAATACAAGAGAGACTATCTAGCATTTAACATAAGAGCAAAGCACTTCAGCATGTGATACTGCAGACAGGACTTTGACATAGAATACAGCAAAGTGTACCCAACGCGCAAGACAACAACTCTGTCATCCAGTGCAGCTGTAACGTGTTGAAATCTCTTGGTGGTGACAGGCAATGTTTGTGTGTCAGAGGCCACCATGGGAAATGACAAAAAAGTCAGACAAAGCAGCTGTCGTTTTTGTACTTTTATTTTGTTTTCTTACAAAAACATCTTTTTTAATCAAAGAGACCGAAGCCCATGTCATCGTCGGACTCCTCAGACTCTTCCTTCTTCTCCTCTTTCTTCTCCTCCTCCTTGGCTGTAGGAGGTAAAGAAGACAGGGTATGGTTAACAAAGTCAAAATCAACAGTGTGCACAAACTATTCTTTCTAGTTAAAGCGAGATTGGCCTTTCACAATCGCTGTAAAAGCTCACAGGAAGCTGGTAGTTATGCAAAGAACCTTTGCTGGAAGGATTTAAAACTAAAAAGGTTTTCCCTTTAAAGTGAGAAAAGGTCATTCCTGTCACTTTAAGAAAAACCTTAGCCAGGACTAAATTAAGAAAGGCCAGATCGATTCAGTTTAACTGTTCCCAGGTCTACACATCAAAAGCAGACCATCATTAAGTATATCCTAATTTAGTGTTGCTGTAACACCAACTTTAAAATATCTGCAGCATTTAAAATCTGCTTTCTAACTTAAACCACTGTCTGTCCAGTTACCTGGGGCGTCACCAGCAGCAGCAGCTCCTCCAGCAGCTGGGGCTCCAGCTGGAGCTCCACCACCGGCTCCGACGTTGCAGATCAGGCTCCCGATGTCAACACTGGACAGAGCCTACAACATTAATAGTCAGAGGTCAGTCACTTCATTTACATGTCTGGGGCTTGTTCTGATGGGTGATGCACAGAATCAAATGCATGACACTATTGTTCTTGTGTAGTGCAAGCTCTTGTGCAAGAGTGCTGCAGGGATGACTTTTCTGTAAGCCAACCCTTAAGGTAACATTGCCCTGGTTCCTTTGACAAAAAGCCGATGGAATTTTTCCATTGGATTCCGATTAGTGCAGATAATAAGCTCTATGGCAAACAACAGTTTATGATACTTAAACGTTTTTGCAGCAAGATATTCTTCACAAATGAGCACCACTTAAGTGTAAATGCAGTCGCCAGGTGTAAAAGCTAACGTTATGCTACAAACAAACTACACAATGGCTGCATGACTTCACATCATCACCACCACCACAAGGCTAAAGCCATGTCAAGCATGATGACATTCTGTAGTCTCATTTACCCACTTGTTAGCAACTGTCTCTTCTAAGACACAGAAGCTTTAAAATTCCAAACTGGGGTATTTACTGCCCCACTGAGGCACATTCACTGAATGTGAAGTCTCTCAAGCTTGTGTTGACCAGACCTTGTTGCAGGCACCTATCCAAAAACCAATTCAAAACACCCATTGACTTCAAGACAAGGGAACTGGAAGGGCAAGGATACTGAATAATTTCTGGGTTTTTGGACTCATTCTTACACCTCTCTGTTCAAGTCTGTACCGCCAACTTTGTAATACTTAGAAACCCAACCACAGTACAGTCAAATCTTCTACACAGGTCCTTTTTTCAAACGTAATTCAGTATGACCTACCAGTGCTTCTGCCATTTTTAATTTTGATTGAGGTGTCAGCAAAGGCAGAACATCTTCAATCCCAACTCTTGTGACTACTTACTTCACAATGTGTTGCAAAACTAAATCAGATTTATTCCTAGACATGATAAAAAACTAAAGCCTTTACAAGATTCAGTTTTTTCCCCTGTTGTGGCCAACTGAGCCTTAACTAATGCGTCCTCAGACACTAGGACACAAACACAACTGAAGCTACTTCTTTCAGTCTACAGAGATCTTTGACTGCAAAAGGAGGCAGCACAGTCCAGGGTACTCTGTCCACAGCAGTTTGATCAACTATAAAATGTCACTTTAAAAAAAGGCAAGTGAGATTTTAGGAAAGCAACAGACACTACTCCATCCAACTGGTTTTAACTCTGCATGTGCACCACCCAAACAAAGAGTGTCGCTTTTCTCTCACCTTGGCAAACAGACTTGGCCAGAAGGGCTCCACTGTGACTCCGGCAGCCTTGATCAGAGCATTCAGCTTGTCCTCCTGCAGACACAGAAAACAGCACGTGTTACAAAATGTGCTTCATTCATACTCACATAACTTGTATTAACATGATGCACATCATCAGTACACAACTTAGAAATATCACAAGCTAGGAGCGAGACAAATCTTGCATTAGTGCATCACACCACTTTCTTACTGATGACCATTTCTCCTTTATTATCCATATAACATGTTAACTTGTGCTTGATAAAATAATGAGGGATGCTGAGTTGATCAACAGAAACTTAACTGAAACTACATGGAAAATAAATTGATCATTTTTAACAACGGAGCTGAAACCCTTCCAGTGATCATGATGTTTTACTGCTACCTCACAAGGCTTATCACACTATCATTTATGGTTTGCACGTCACATCTATGTTGCATCCACATGCACCAAACATGGCAAGATAAAGTTTGGACACCTGACTAACATTCTCAATTAAACAAAGCAGGCTTACACTACGGTTAAAAATATGGTAATACATTGAAGTCACCTATGGCACCTTTCACTGCAAATCAAAGCATGGCTGCTGTTGTGTAGATTAGCTTAGCATTAGCTAGCACCTGTCATTTGAGTGACAGATGAAGATAACTAGAGCTTCAGCTGTGAGTTTAGATGTGCAAGACATGTGGCGAGGAGCAAAACTAACGCCACATATTGTTGATACAACTCATGAGATCACAACACAGTGAAGAGCCGTCTTGATACAGAAACGTGGCCTTACGCTAGCAACAAGCATGCCGCCATCTTGGCCGGTAGATGGGACTGTTTAAACGTCTGAACACCTAAACTCCAATTTTAACAGACATGTAACTGTTTTAATTTGTCAGTTAAGTCTTAAATATCTAGATGTTATAATTTATGACTTTAGACACGCGCACAACACTTCCAAAAGGTGCAGTTGACTGGTATTGTTCGAGCTGTCGGGGACAAGCCGGGGCACTTACGGTGACGGTAACTTCATCATCGTGGAGGATCAGAGCGGAGTAAATGCAGGCGAGCTCGGACACGGAGGCCATTGTAGATGTTATATTTTATGTTTGTCGAGGTGGATGCCTAAATTTGACGGTGCTAGTCGCCGGATTGCGGGCCTTAGCTTCTGGTGAAGAACCAAACACCTTAGGCACGTTCACTTCCTGTAGTGGAAAAGGGAAGGCAGAGGGCGGGAGCTTGCATAATATACGATGCGTCAGGACTGCGTGACTCAGACATCATCACGTACACGAAGTGACGATAGACGTAATCAAGCTCCCTCCATTTTTTTTATTCCAATAACAACTGAATTTTCTGCTAATTTAAATACAGTCAGAGATATTATCATTATTATTATTATTATATAGAAATATTTATTATTTTATGTTATAATATGTATACAGTACGTATACAGTATTTGAGTTTTATCATTATTATTATTATAAATAATAATAATATGAATAATAATAAAAATCATATCATATTTATTGTATCTTTTATCTGAATGTACATTTTTAGATTTTTTTTAGGGCTTTTATTGTCTTTATTACAGAACAGCCAGGGAGTGACCTATGTACATATGGTGCACTTTATCAGTCCTCTAGATGGAGGCACCTTATTTTTAGGAATTTTACACCATGTTTTTTGCTTTCTGTAGTTTCTGCTGCTATTATCAGTTAAAAACCAAAACTGTGACAAAAATGTACAAAGGAAACATGTTCAGAGGTTTTAAATCCAATGCAAACAACATATTCAGTCGGGAATTTTATTTAATCACAATCAAAAACACAAAAATTACAGTGAGTAAAACCATTTCAAGGCAATTTTCTGACAAATCTCTCCTGGTCACTTTTACACAGGAACAGAAAACCTGTGCTTGATCTTTGTGCACAGACCTAATATAGCCATATATCTTTCTACTTTAAAAAATCAACAAATTAAAAAAGCAAAACAACATAACATTAAAATGATGGCAAAAAAATAAAACATGAAATCCAAATGTAGTAATACTTTCCTCAAGTCTTACTATTTACTGTTTTCCCTCACAATGTCAGTGTCTGTTTAAAAACATCAGATGGACCATTTATGGTGAACTGAACATACAAAGCTAATAACAGTTTAAAGAATCATTCTCACATTTGGCACCAACATATTTCCTTGGCCCTGATATGTAGAAAATACTCGAGCAGGTAAAACTACAAAACTAGAGTGGATGGAAAGGACAGAATGGCTTTCAGTGGCACCCTCCTGTGTTACAGTGAAATAAAAGTAAATATCGTTGTACCATTTGTGGACATAGTGGGTTTAACTCAATAGATTGCAGATGTTTAGGAAAGTTATCCCTACTTCCGTGGCAAGAAATTGGAATTTTCTAGAGATTCTGTGACAATCAGGCAACTCATCCCCTTCACCATGGCAACATATTGGACTCTGATATGTCGCTACTATTACAGCCATCATTATGTACATAGATGGAAAGTACGTCATAAAAAATCTATAATTAAGAGTGATGCAATTGCTCTAACTTTTTAGTCTTTGAGACTTTTGATTCCTACCTCTGTCATTTTTTAAGAAACAGGGTCTGTCAACCTTGAATTTGTCTCATGTTAGCTTTGTCCACATGATAATCCGGAATAAAAAATTGAAATGCATACACATTGACACTTTTTAAGAGGCAGATTGTTAACAGCCTTTTCACTGAGCAATATTGACAGATAATTAGCACAGTTTCATAGAATTTCTAGAGAAACATTCAAATTCTGCATCAGGAATGACTAACTGAGTCAACAACACATCCACTTATGATTCGGAAACTCCTCTGAAAGTTCCGATGTATCAGACTTTGCGCTTATGGAATAATAAAATGGAAAATCAATATATTCAGATATAAGTTCTTCAAAGCAGTCTGACCCAGGCTCAAATTGTACTCAGTCAGTTAACTGGAATTTGTAAACACAAAAATTATTTAAAATTATCATAATCCCTTTTTGACACTGCAATTAAAATTCTGAAAATACAGTATTTACAATGGTGCTCAATAGGCGGATTTTGAGCTTAAAATGGGAGGCCCACCCAATGAAATAAATCACACTCTATTCTTGCAGCTTAGCACGGCCAAGCCAGTGTTTGGAGACGTGCAAAGCTGGAAATCAAGGTAGAAAAAAAGCCCCAATGGCTGTCCCAATAGAGGAGGAATGTGGCAGGCTCTGTGGATTGACCTGATGTTTGATAAACAGGTAGAGCAGAATTTATGGCTGACAAGACTCAAATTTGCCACCGATATTAATGTACTCTTTCTGACCTGTTGTAGATTTGGTCATAGTCATGAGCAGGGTGCAAGCCATTCACACCAGGTTGTTGTGTCAGTCTGAAATGGAAAACTTGCGGTTTACCTCATTGATGTTTCTGTCCCGCCACATGGTGCAAAAAAACAACACAAAAAAATCCTCTCCCGATTGCAAAAGGCAAATAAGCATATGTTGACCTTTCAATACTTCGCACTATGGGACGGAGTGAAAAAAGCCAAAAACCAAAAGGATGTCAACGCGCCTGGTCCATTTCCAACTAACTGACAAGAAACAAAAACCGTTTTCCAGGCGCCTCTGGACCGTTAAACCAGCTCAGTTGATATGACCAATACCAGTCAGTGGATACTGGTGGACTGATGACAAAACCCGCAGATACCAGATCAGGGAAGCCATGACTCCTCTTTCCTCACTAGTCCTTGTGAGTCTTTCCTTTGGGCTTTTCGTCGTAAGAAACTCCATATTCATTTACTCTCGTTTTGTCCACTGGGTAGAGCCTGGGGGAGGGAGGAGAGTTTTTTTGGTTAGAATACTGATGGATGTGTTTTGTTGTCAACTTGGGAATCTGTGTGTGTGTGTGTGTGTGTGTGTACCATCTCTGGTAGAGGTAAATGAGAAACACCACATCGTCCCTGAAACAGGCCAGTCTGTGAGACGTTGGCATGGTGATGATGAAGGCAAACACATCGTCGATGAAGGTATTGAATGCCTGACAAAAACCAATATCATACAGTTAATAACTTTTTTAAATGCACTAATAACTAATGAGGATCTTAAGTGACTTTAACCTGAATTAAATATTTTATGTAACATAGAACACCACCGTTTCTAAAATGAAACTTTGGTGATTTATCAGGTTATATAAATATAACAGCAGATCTCTAAATCCAGACACTCAATTGATTTATTAAAACATATTAATAGGCACTAACGGAATAACTAACAAACTGGAGTCCTGTTCTCACCTTGTACATGAAGGCTTTCCAGGGCAGGTGGGCCACAGATTTCAGCTGTTAAATTAAGCAGAATAAATCAGTAGGACGTTTGAAAGACAAAAACGGTATATCAAATTAATTTCAATGCTGCGGTGCAAACTTTCAGGCAATATCTGAACAATTTCATATTTTAGGGAGCATTTTCCCAGATCTGGAGCAGTTAAACGATCCCTGTGGAGTTTTAGATCTCTCGTAGCACTGTGGAGCTATTTTTCTACCAGTGCGTTTACCTTAAACTTTCCCTTAGAGCTGAGAGGAGAGTTTTTATAATAATGCATTTTATCCATTACCACATTTTAAAACTGTATGACGGGTAAGACCACTCTCACATACATAATGACAGTGACAAACTGACCTTATAGTTGACAAACAGTTGAGGAAGCATGAAGAGGAAGCCGAAGGCATATACACCTGGAATAATTAAAAACATGTTAAAAAATCTTTTTCTCTTTGATTAAATAATGGAAATCAATGGCACAAGAAGGAGGTAATCAACTTGTAATTCTGTCAATAATACATTAGTTTACAGTGTTTTGTCCACAGTGTTCAGAGTTTCAAAAAGCTTACCATTAACCAAACTGTTGATCAACCACGAGTACCAACTAAAACAGGGACACAGAAACAGAGGAAGATAATGACTGGTGAGACTGATGACAACAGCATAACATGATTAGTAATCAGGTTATAAAAACTGTGCACACAGACCCTTACCTCTTATATCGTAGGAATATTAGAGCATAGACAGCCCCTCCAATACACAGCGGGTAGAGGAGGTATGAGAGATACTTCATGGCCTACACAGAAACACAAGGTAATGTGAAACCAGTTACAGCACAATCTGTACTGTGCAGTAATAAAAGCACAGTATGTGTTATGGTTTATTATAGTGTATTGTAGTGTGTGTGAGTCTATAGTGTCTCACCAGAGTATCGTACTCCTCTGTTCTCCTCTCTGATTCGTCTAATTTCCCAAACTGTTGCACAGAAAAGAAACAGAATTGAACTCTGAGCACTGTAGCATATTCCACTTAAATTTATAGCAAAGCCAGTCATACACTGCTGCATGGAAACATTTGATTCCTTTACTTGCTTATCATGGTCACAAAATGTCGCTGTATCTCTGAACTTTAAGTTTCAACATTAATTTAGTAGAAAGCTGCGTTACAGCAGCAGACAGAGAAAATGAATATTGGCTGTGCACAGGAGTTAGAGGAAATGGTGCTGATGGTGTAGAGCAACCTAGACAGACATGATTTAATTTATACTGATCTGTTACAATAAACGGCAGATGATTGTAAAAAGATCAACCAGTTACACACACACACACACACACACACACACACACACACACACCTACCAGGAACGTTGGTTTGCCTCCTTTCCAGAAAACCTGAATTTTAAAGGCCTTCTTCACCTTCCATACCTACAACAAAGCATTCCCAAAACACACACCATTACACATTAATCAACAATATTCTGATCCGTATAAACTCCACATATCATCCACAGAGTTTTTAAATTCATATACGTTTCTATTGAGCTCTGAATGGGTGCAGAGGTGTGTTTTCCACTTTGTGTGCACTTACTTCAATGATAGAGCCGATGCCTGCAGGTATGAGGACAAGCAGGCTGGTTTGCTCGTCAAACAAATAGAGGAAAATCACTATGGTGCTGAAACATCTCCACAGCACTGGAAAACAGAACACAAAATGTTTTACTGCAACGTTGCTGTTGTGCATTACACTAATGATGAATGCATTTCAGTCATTTTCTTCCAATTCTGTCTGCACCAATGTCATTGTATTTCCTACTCTAATAATCCTTAAATTAAGTTGCCTCCCAGTGCCAGAGCTGTGGATATACACAGCTCCAGTGCAGAGGAATTGTCTGGGTGAACAATTTTAAGTACAGGCTTCTTGCTTATATTGCTGCAGGTGAAATATTGCCCACCAGCATTTTGCAGATGGCTAATTCTTGCCATTACCTGAGAGCAAGCACGCAAGAGCATACTTCACTCTGTTGCTGTTTTTGTTGCCAAGCATAAGGAAGCAGAACGCGGCATCTGGCCACCCAGCGGTCCAGTCAGATTCACCTGTGTTACATATTTTTCTAAAGCACTGACAGTTACATGCTGTGCTGTAATGCTCTTTTTAAATCATTTACAACAAGTTTACAGCAAGCATCTGAATCACCAGACTTTTCCAACTTTGTCATCTGTTTTGCATTTGTTTCTTTTCCAATAGTATGTTTTTCATGAGAACAAAGTTGCCCACCTGCTTTGCTGGACATTCCCACCATGCTTTTCTTCTGCTTCCAGAAGCTGATGTCGTTCTTGAATGCCAGGAAGTCAAAGAGGAGCTGAAAAAGCAATAAATATAAACATATATCTGTCAAGCTACAGTCTGTTGTTGCCATTCATAATGACACAGTGAAATTGGTCACTGTACACTGACAATTGCTATACTGCATTCAGTGGTTATACAACTTCAGTATTTAGGTTTGATTCAACCTCATGCTGATTTCGTATGCTGGATAGAAAGTTCCACGAGTCAGGAATATATCCACATGCTATTGTATCAAGAAAATGTAATCCGGAGAATAGTGCTATGCTCAGAATGTTGCATTTATTTATGCCTTACTCTATTTTATTCCATTCTAGTGTAATCTCATGCGAAGACTTACATGGAAGGCAGCTACGAAGAAGGTCAGAGCCAGGAAGTACAGGTTGGTATCCACAAATATTCCCTTAATCTCATCAGCATCCTTTTCTGTGAAACCTGCATCACATCCCGGGAGACACACAAATATACATGACATTAGAGTACAAGGTTTCTAGGCTATGTGTGTGTGCATGTGTTTCTGTGACAGATTAACATACCAAACTGCTGCAGAGAGAAGACAGCGTCTTGCATGTGGATCCAGAATCGGAGCCTCCCCAGAGAAATGGAATCGTAGGAGATGGTCAGAGGCAGCTCCATGGAGGTACTGTTGATCTCCTACAAGTACACACACAGAAACACTCTGGTTCACTCTGGTAGTGCTAGTGTTTCCGTCTTCCTCTAAATAAGTTTCACAAGAAAATCTGCCACATATAAACCACCTGATATATAAAACTTACGACAAGGTCCTTGACCCGGTTGCTGAGCTCATCAACAAACAGCAGAGGTAGATAAACCATCTTCTTACCATTTTGGAATCTGAAACACAGGAAAACAAAACATCCTCTGATGCCTCTGAATCCTAATTAAAGTCTGTGCAGTTCATTATAAATGAGCTTAAAAATATGTACGTGTGTCTGTCTTACACTCTGAGGTATCTGTGGACATCACTAGGCAAGTATTCTCTGTCAAACAGGAAGTGGTCGCTGACAATGTTGAGTGTCAGGCGAGTGCGCCAGTGGGAAACTGGGTGATCTGACATGGAGGTGGCACCACTTCCTGCAGCAGGGTTACCGTCCGGGCGTTTCTTCTGCTGGGCTTCTTCTTTCTGACCCTGTGTGACCACATAGACGAAGAAATATTACTCTCAAACTCTCAATGCCCGATTAGTAAATTAACTCTTCTGTATCTATCTTCATAAGATACAGATACTATAAATATTAATAACATTATCACAAAATAAAACACCTACTACAACTAAAAATACCTAATGATATTGACAGATTCTCAAAGTGTCAAACACCTTTCACTCAAAAACAGAACGACTCAACACCTGTGCTTTATCCTCTCCGGATATCAAAGAGATTTCCGGCAGTTTAGGGACCATGTATGTGGTGAGCTGAGCCACCAGGTGGACCTGTCGTGGATCCTGCCACGGAGTGAAGCCGGCTTGATGGACAAATATTAGTGCATATAAAGTTCCATTGTTGCGGGTCTTCTTAGGGAGGGGGACATTTACTATCCTGGAGGAAAAAGAGAGAAAGAGGAAAGAGAGTGAGAGGAAGGACAGCATTAGCTTTATTGGTCTACGGTGATCTGCTCTTCATGAACCTGACCAGTGCCTAAAGAAGTTGGAGACTGTATACCATTGTGTTTTACAGTTTGTTTCTGGCTGTGTAAATTTTGTACACCGCTGTACAGTGTATGCTGCTACTAAATGGCCATCTCTTTGTATCTGCAAACTTTTGCATTGGTTGGTTTTTGTCATTTGTGGTGTGTGACAGTTGTATTTGTCTGTTTGTGTTCATTGTTGTAGCGATGTTTATGCCGCCCTCTTGGCCAGGTTGCTCTTTAAAAAGCATTAAGGCTTTAGGGTTTGTTAAACTTCAGTGTCCCATCAGACAGTTTACAGCTTTTCTATTCTATGTAAAATATAAAAAGTCACAAAGAGTCCCACCAACCTCTCGAACTTGCTGTTGACATCAAACTTTTCCTCTTTGTGGATCAAGGTATGTCCTCCCTCTGCATTGGGCCGCAGTGCAGTGTAGATACTCAACTGGATACACACAGGAACATATTACAGATATTACTTCAATCATACAATATACTACTGGCAACATGATGGAATCAAAACTGAGCACTGCAACCATCCGTCCCTGAACATCACTGACCTGTAGTTTCGGCTCCCCTGCCAAGAAGGGTGTGATACAGTTGTCACCTTTGGGTCTGTCGCAGGGCTTAGTGTACACTATCCCATACATCACCCAGCAGGTGTGGAGCACGTACACCACAAAGACCCCCACGATCAGCGTGGTGAAGGATGTTTTCAGGAACATGATGCTAGTCTTGTCGTCTCGTTACGTCGTCTACCTGGGCTAGCTGAGGAGCAGGGCCATGCGTCTGCAAAGTGAGAGTCATTCATGGAGGGTCAGTATGATGCTTATCCAAAAATCCATGCTAACTGTATGATATGAAAGAATGCTGCTGAGTTTCTCTCAGCTCTCCTCCTAACTCTGGCTAACTAACAACTAGTTGTCTGAGAAATTAAATTACTGGTACATCTGCATCTGCTATATAGCAGCCTCCACTCTTCTGAAATGGCTTTCCACAAGATTTTGGAGTCTGGACGTAATGTTCCAAATCAGCCACAAAAGCCTTAAAGGTAGAGAACTGATATTGGGTGATAAGGCGTGATAAAAACATGTTGAACAGGACTGAGGTCAGGGCCCTGGGCAGGCCAAGTTCTTTTAGTTGAACAAAAAGTATATCTTTAATGATTTGGCTTTGTGCATGGGGACATTGTCATGTTGAAACAGGAAATAGCCTTCCCCAACCCCAAACTGAAATTATTTATACAGTCTCGTAAAATGTTTGACACAAGGCAGTAATTATGGGGGACACATCCTCCCAAATATTCCAGTTCTGGTATTATAGTGTACTGCAGTTCAGCATGTGGTTTGTCAATTAATTAATTAGCCAAACATTTATCCAGTGACCAACACTGGTGTAAAGGAGCGTATTCAACCAATGTTTATGTCTTTATTACATTATATTTATCAGATAGCCCATGTGAAGTCTGAGTAAGGATCAATAATTTATGTTGCACAGCACGTGAAATTTATGTGGATGGAGCGAGCTTTAATATATTGCATATTCCTGTAGTGTATAGTATAACTGTACATGCTTATAATAACTATATTATTATTAAATATTACAGGAAATTTATTTTAAATTTAGAATTTAGTGTGGAAGCAACAACCAGATACAGCTGGTGTAGAACATTTACCAGAACTTGCCCATCCAGTTTTGTTATACTACACTGTAGAGACAGCCTCACATCCAGACACAACAATAGATGGTGATAAGAACACAGGCCTGAAATTCTGGGGGAATCAGGTTCACATAAATTTTTGATAATGTTTCAAAGTAACAGACTTACTGTGAACACTTTGAGTGTTACTGGCAAAGCTGTCTGATTTATCCACCACTTGTTTGCCGTAGGTTACAGTAAATAGCCACCACTGCCAGTATTTGCTAGTGGTGGTAATGTACCACCATTTGATTGATTGTGAGTGGGCAGAAAGCAAACCTTAGCCCTTGAATGTAGATAAAATCAGAAAACTGTCCAGTGCATGATGTTTACTAAAATCTGCTCTCTTCAGTTCATGTTATCGGAGCGTCAGTGCTGCCAGATTTTAAGATTGTATACTTGTTCTTCCTTCATGTGTCGTGTCGTAACGTTTAAATGAAAGTAAAATTCAGACGTTAACGTTAAACCTACCGGTGTTTAATGTGGCTGGCTGTCAGTGACAGGACACTCTCAGCTGGCTATCCGTCCATTCACCTCACAGACCCTGCCGGGTAGTTAGACACATCGTTTCTTTAAAACCGTGCACCTTCTTTGGCTGGAGACATGTGCTGTCTACTCCACTGGCCTCTCCATTCAGGAAAAAGAAGACAGCTAACAGCCCAAAACCTGTTAGCTGAAAGCGTGAGGTGGATCTAAATTTCCGCCGTTTGCTTCCTGGTTGATTTCTTGGACGGGATTTGGGGGCTGGTAACGCGAGACTTTACGTCACAGAGCCACTTGAAGAATGACGAGCATTAATTGTATTTTAAAATAACAAACAACAAACAGTTATTTAGCCCTAATAGACAGATACTATAAATGATTCACATTTATCAAACATTACCTGTAAACATTAAGACTTTTAACAAAGGTTAACCACCTGTTTTCAGTTGTGATAACAGGTCAGGTTCATGTAAGTGGTAATCAGTGAGGTTGCGTTTTGAGTCGATATCAATAGCATGTATGTAATAGTGTTGCTCATGTTACATGCAGTTTCATTTTAATGCAGGCTGCTTATGTGTGCACGTTTATCTCCTCCTTAAAATAGGCTGCTGTGACCCGGATTCGAACCGGGGTTGCTGCGGCCACAACGCAGAGTACTAACCACTATACGATCACGGCTCGCCATCTGTCCGCATGTTGGAGTGCGGATTGCCTCATGGACGGCTTCAGGTGACTGATGTTGAAATAATATAACAGCTTGTTCTAATTTCTCCCACATTACCTTAGGGCATATAACAGGTATAAAAGTCTATAGGTGATTTTTTTTAAGCCTTTGCTTTACCGCTGTTTATTAAAAACAACAACACATTTGGACTTTGTGAACCAAATTAAGTCACGTGTTTTTCTTTCTTTCTTTGCTTATACAGCAGGGAAGTGAGATCCAATTAAGAGGTCACTTTAGACCCATTTGGAAATGCACACTTATACTGTGTGGGAACAGACAGACTTAGAGCTGTCCACTTGTAATCAGATGTATGATGATGCCAAGTCTGAGCAGGCTCGCCCAAAATAGGATGCCGTGACCCGGATTCGAACCGGGGTTGCTGCGGCCACAACGCAGAGTACTAACCACTATACGATCACGGCTCGCCACCTGTATTGATGCTGTAGTGGGAATTGGCTCATGGAGGTGTTCAGTTGCCTGATGTCCAAATGATATAATAGCTTGAATTGATGTCTCCCATATTACCTTAGGGCACATAACAGGTATAAAAGTCTATAGGTGATTTTTTATACCTTTGCAGTTCTGTGGGAAGCTACTAAGCAGAGCTTTGCAAACTACCAATTACTAAACAATGAAAGACGCTGAACTACAGCCACTTACAGAAACACACAATTTAACAAAATGTAAAAAAACAAAAAAAACAAACATGGATTGACTTACTCAATAATCAGGATTGAATCCATTCAATCCAGTAACTGGACAGTCTAGAAGAGACACATCTGTCCTCAGCATGAAGCTCACACCCCTGCAGCATTATAGGGAAATTATACTTCTGCATTGAATCGATGCCGTAGCTACAGTGTAGGCTCCTCTTTTTTTTTTTTTTTTTTTTTTGCTTACACAGCGGGGAAGTGAGATCTAATCAAGTGGTCACTTTTGGAGATGCATTCTCATGCCTGGTGTGATCAGACAGACATGGAGCTATCTCCTTGTGATCAGATGCATGATGATGCCAGATCTGAGCAGGCTGATATCAGGTCAGGTTTATGGAGGGGTGATCAGTGCCTAATGCATCACAGATGAGAGTGCATTTTGGGTCCATATCAATTACAAGTAAGTAGTAGTGTTGCTCATGTTACATGAAATGTCATTTTTATGCAGGCTGCTTGTCAGTGCACGCCTATCTCCTCCTTAAAACAGGCTGCCGTGACCCGGATTCGAACCGGGGTTGCTGCGGCCACAACGCAGAGTACTAACCACTATACGATCACGGCTGGCCATTTGTTTTGGTGGCAGTTCCAAGATTGGCTCGTGGAGGTGTTCAGTTGCTTGATGTTAAAACAAAATAACAACTTGTACTGACATCTCCCACATTACCGTAGGGCATATAACAGGTATAAAAGTCTATAGGTGAATTTTTTATGCCTTTGCTTTAAAGAAAACAATACATTTGAACTTTGTGAACCGAAATAATACATGTTTTTCTTTTTTTTTTCCTTCTTCTTCTTTTCTTATAGAGCAGGGAATTGAGATACAATCAAGTGGTCACTTTAGACGCATTTGGAGACGCATTCTCATGCCAGGTGAGAACAGACAGACATAGAGCTCTCCACTTGTGATCAGATGCATGATAATACCACGTCTACACAGGCTGATAATAACAGGTCAGGTGTATGTAAGTGGTGGTCACAGCCTAATGCATCACAGATGGAGCTGCGTTTTGGGTCGATATCAAGTACATGTAAGTAGTAGTGTTGCTCATGTTACATGAAGTGTCATTTTTATGCAGGCTGCTTGTCAGTGCACGCCTATCTCCTCCTTAAAACAGGCTGCCGTGACCCGGATTCGAACCGGGGTTGCTGCGGCCACAACGCAGAGTACTAACCACTATACGATCACGGCTGGCCATTTGTTCTGGTGCTAGTTCCAAGATTGGCTTGTGGAGGTGTTCAGTTGCTTGATGTTAAAACAAAATAACAACTGCTACTGACGTCTCCCACATTACCTTACAGGTCTAAAAGTCTATAGGTGAATTTTTTATGCCTTTGCTTTAAAGAAAACAATACATTTGAACTTTGTGAACCGAAATAATACATGTTTTTCTTTTTTTTTTTCCTTCTTCTTCTTTTCTTATAGAGCAGAGAATTGAGATACAATCAAGTGGTCACTTTAGACGCATTTGGAGACGCATTCTCGTGCCAGGTGAGAACAGACAGACATAGAGCTCTCCACTTGTGATCAGATGCATGATAATACCACATCTACACAGGCTGATAATAACAGGTCAGGTGTATGTAAGTGGTGGTCACAGCCTAATGCATCACAGATGGAGCTGAGTTTTGGGTCGATATCAAGTACATGTCAGTAGTAGTGTTGCTCATGTACATGAAGTGTCATTTTTATGCAGGCTGCTTGTCAGTGCACGCCTATCTCCTCCTTAAAACAGGCTGCCGTGACTCGGATTCGAACCGGGGTTGCTGCGGCCACAACGCAGAGTACTAACCACTATACGATCACGGCTGGCCATTTGTTTTGGTGGCAGTTCCAAGATTGGCTCGTGGAGGTGTTCAGTTGCTTGATGTTAAAACAAAATAACAACTTGTACTGACATCTCCCACATTACCGTAGGGCATATAACAGGTATAAAAGTCTATAGGTGAATTTTTTATGCCTTTGCTTTAAAGAAAACAATACATTTGAACTTTGTGAACCGAAATAATACATGTTTTTCTTTTTTTTTTCCTTCTTCTTCTTTTCTTATAGAGCAGGGAATTGAGATACAATCAAGTGGTCACTTTAGACGCATTTGGAGACGCATTCTCATGCCAGGTGAGAACAGACAGACATAGAGCTCTCCACTTGTGATCAGATGCATGATAATACCACGTCTACACAGGCTGATAATAACAGGTCAGGTGTATGTAAGTGGTGGTCACAGCCTAATGCATCACAGATGGAGCTGCGTTTTGGGTCGATATCAAGTACATGTAAGTAGTAGTGTTGCTCATGTTACATGAAGTGTCATTTTTATGCAGGCTGCTTGTCAGTGCACGCCTATCTCCTCCTTAAAACAGGCTGCCGTGACCCGGATTCGAACCGGGGTTGCTGCGGCCACAACGCAGAGTACTAACCACTATACGATCACGGCTGGCCATTTGTTCTGGTGCTAGTTCCAAGATTGGCTTGTGGAGGTGTTCAGTTGCTTGATGTTAAAACAAAATAACAACTGCTACTGACGTCTCCCACATTACCTTACAGGTCTAAAAGTCTATAGGTGAATTTTTTATGCCTTTGCTTTAAAGAAAACAATACATTTGAACTTTGTGAACCGAAATAATACATGTTTTTCTTTTTTTTTTTCCTTCTTCTTCTTTTCTTATAGAGCAGAGAATTGAGATACAATCAAGTGGTCACTTTAGACGCATTTGGAGACGCATTCTCGTGCCAGGTGAGAACAGACAGACATAGAGCTCTCCACTTGTGATCAGATGCATGATAATACCACGTCTACACAGGCTGATAATAACAGGTCAGGTGTATGTAAGTGGTGGTCACAGCCTAATGCATCACAGATGGAGCTGCGTTTTGGGTCGATATCAAGTACATGTCAGTAGTAGTGTTGCTCATGTACATGAAGTGTCATTTTTATGCAGGCTGCTTGTCAGTGCACGCCTATCTCCTCCTTAAAACAGGCTGCCGTGACTCGGATTCGAACCGGGGTTGCTGCGGCCACAACGCAGAGTACTAACCACTATACGATCACGGCTGGCCATTTGTTCTGGTGCTAGTTCCAAGATTGGCTTGTGGAGGTGTTCAGTTGCTTGATGTTAAAACAAAATAACAACTTGTACTGACATCTCCCACATTACCGTAGGGCATATAACAGGTATAAAAGTCTATAGGTGAATTTTTTATGCCTTTGCTTTAAAGAAAACAATACATTTGAACTTTGTGAACCGAAATAATACATGTTTTTCTTTTTTTTTCCTTCTTCTTCTTTTCTTATAGAGCAGGGAAGTGAGATACAATCAAGTGGTCACTTTAGATGCATTTGGAGACGCATTCTTGTGCCAGGTGAGAACAGACAGACATAGAGCTCTCCACTTGTGATCAGATGCATGATAATACCACGTCTACACAGGCTGATAGTAACAGGTCAGGTGTATGTAAGTGGTGGTCAGAGCCTAATGCATCACAGATGGGGCTGCGTTTTGGGTCGATATCAAGTACATGTAAGTAGTAGTGTTGCTCATGTTACATGAAGTGTCATTTTTATGCAGGCTGCTTGTCAGTGCACGCCTATCTCCTCCTTAAAACAGGCTGCCGTGACCCGGATTCGAACCGGGGTTGCTGCGGCCACAACGCAGAGTACTAACCACTATACGATCACGGCTGGCCATCTGTTCTGGTACTGTGGTAACTGCTGTCACTGCTGTCTAGATTGGCTCATGGAGGCAACCCCAGTTGCTTGGGGTTTAAATAACAGGAGGGTGACTCAGTTAGCACAGTTAATT